TGGTTGATTGATCCTGTTCTTGTCAGTGTCTTTTGTGTTCTGCTTCTGAAATCATTGCCTGTCCCAAAATCATAATGCCAGTCTCCTAAATTATCTTTATTCTTTATCTTCTGTGTGTATGTCTTCTTTTCCTGAGTGACAAACATGAGCAACGACAGCATCAGGAGATAATTTGAGATGCTCTGGATAATGTCATCTTTCAGAGATGATTTACAGATTTCAGTTTAGGGCTGCTCTACAGCTACACCAAAGCAATGGAGGTCACCTTAATCCAGTCAGCAAGAAAGGTAATTTAAAGATGGGTTCAATTCCTGTGAAGGTTAGTTTCTCTTTTTGCATTTTCATCTAGGATTCTAACCTAAAGCTTGGGCTGTTGACATCTTTTTCCTCAGTAAGCCCTCAAATTCCAGTTTCCATCAGTCTCAGTCTGTCACATCTGAGTCTGCCAGATTATCTGCTCAGCTTCTCAGATGTCTTGAGGGGAACTGGGGCTCGAAAAGTGTGGAACTCAAATATTTGTGTAGAGGTAGATTTTTCTCCATCTGTTTCAGTTCCACGGGACCAGTTTTCCTCTACCCACTGGGTCCCACAGCCGATTAAGAAATAACTGTTCTGAGACTTAATATCACTTACAACTCTTTAGCCAGTGGTTTAGGTTTCTTACTGGCTGGCTGCCTCCTAATTATTATCCCATTTCTACTAACCTGTGTATCTATCTCTACATGACCTGGCTTACTGATGATACCCGGGTGTTCTGCCTTCACGACAGCTACATGGCGACTCCTTTCTCTTCCTTTTCCCGAGTCTTTGTTCAGAGTTCCTGACTAGCTAAATTCTGCCTGTCCATTGGCCAAAACAGCTTCATTCATCAACCAATAAGAGAAACATATATTCACAGCATACAGAAGGACATCTCCCATCATATTTGGTGTTCCCTTCCCAGACTTCAGCCGTCTTCACTGCCTTAATCAATCTCAGAAGCCATCAAACAAGTGATAATTGATTCTTTGATGAGAAACAGAAGTGAGCTCCAAAGTCCCATCTGAATCTAAATTTAGAGAATTTGGGGTTTCTACTTCTTAATTCACAGAACAGAAACTAAAGTGGGTGTAGTCTAAAGAATTAGATAAGGAAGTTATTCACAATTCATCCTACCTCCACATCATCATAAATCCAGAAAAAAAAATGAGTTTTGGTGTTATCAGAATAGAATTTGGGCAGACATGATATGGTAGTGCATACCTACCTGTACCTATGGCATTTAAGCGGAAGGAACATGAATTCAGGATGAGCCTAGACTCCAAAGCAACTTTATGGCCAGTTTGGGCTATATAGTGAGTTGGAGATTGTCTCAGTTACTTTCCTATTGCTGTGGTAAAACACCATGACCAAGACAACTTATAGAAGGAAGAATTTATTGGGAAGATCAGAAGGTTAGAGATCATGACCATCATGGTGGCAGGCAGGCAGGGTGCTGGAGCAGTAGCTTAGAGTTTACATCTGATCCACAAGCATGAAGAAGTCACACTGGGAATGGCATGAACTTTTGAAAACTCAAAGCCCGCTGCCAGTGAAACAACTCCTTCGGCAAGGCCACACCTCTTAATCCTTCCCAACCGTTTCTGTCAACTGGGGACCAAATATTTAAATATATGAACCTCTGGGGGCCATTCTCATTCAAGTCATCACAGAGACCAACCTAGACAACATGAGACTGTATCTCAAAAAAGAAGAGGCTGAGTTGAACATACTGACTTCCACAGGTTTGCAGGACCTCCTTCCCCCACAAGTCATAAAACAGGCTTCCAGTTTAAGATGAAAGGCTCAGTGTCCATATACTCTCCATTCTTTTCCCAGGCCTCACAGAAATCGCAAAAGAGGTAGTTTTGGTTACTTGAAAAGTAACACAGAATAGTCAAAAGACAATCGTGAGTCTTAGAGAGTTTGCTTAGCTGATTTATTAAGAGAGTTGTTGGGAACAGCTGTAGTGGTTCCTTCTTGTCAACAGATTGACTAGTAGTAGCTGTTAGTTTTCCCTCAGCCTTCAGACATCTAGAGAAAGTAGAAAACCTTGATGGGGGTGTTGCGGGGGGGGGATGTTAGTAGGGAAACATCTTGAGGACAACAGATTTTTCCATCCAGGGTAACCTTCTCTGTTTTTAGTTTTTAATACCGTAATAGGAGTCCCCGTCCTACCTGATGAACCAAGAGACTGAATAAATGCATGAGGGAGAGGGGACACTGAAATAATTAAACAATTGCAGATGTTTACCCGTAAAAATTTCTAACTAGGCATGATGATGTAAACCTATACATAAGTTACAGGTCAGCACAGCCTACATGATGAGTTAGAGACCAGCCTGGGCTTCAGGGTGTGAGACTTTGTCTCAGAAGGCAAACAAACAAACAAACAAACAAAAAACTATAAGAAACACCCAAAACATTTCCAGATAGAATCTTTAGAAAGAAACAGGAGGTTTTCCAACTCATGAAATAAGGGCAAGTTATTAGGAAATAGTTCAAAAAGAAAAGAAAAATCTTGGAAATTGTAAAGTAGTTCTATGGTTGGGTATGGATGTATGCATGCTTATAATCTCAGCACTTGAGAAACAGAGGCAAGAGAATCAGGAATTCAAGGCCAGCCTGGACTTCATAAGACCCAGTCTCAAGTTTTTTCAGGAAATAACCCCCCCCAAAGTAATGAATATAGCAAAGACCAAATTGTAGATTTGGAAAATAAAGTTGGAGAAGAAAACGTCAAGGATTAGCAAAATTTCAGAGATATTTTGAGAGAAGAGTGTCAACTACAGATGGGCCATATCACTTAGCTTCCACGGATTTAGTTCTAACTCGAATGGGTTCTAATGGCAGATATGTGCATACATGTATATTCTTAAGGAAAGTATAAAATCCAGTTTGAAGTTCTACAGCTTTAGAATAGCTATTCTAATGCTACAAAAGTTCACTCTCATGAACTTTATTTTGAGGTGTGATGTTTTTATTTGCAGGTTCTTTATAATAAAGTTTTAATTAAAGTGATTTTAAAAAAGTAATTAGATATTTTTAAATAGAGAATAATAAAATATATGTGACATGAAAGCAGAAGCAGAGACTATTTGGAGGAGGTAGGAAACCAGCAAAAATAGGATAGGAAGGATGGGGAAAAGGGACAAATAAGAACAAATTGAAATGACATGTTTGCATGAAAATGTCACAGTAAAACACATTGCTTTGGTAACTTAAAATATAAACACATTTTAAGAAACTGTATATACATCTGCATACATATTTTTAATTGTTCCAGGTCTTCTCACCTTGAGTCAAAAAGGGCTTGTTTTTGAAATGCCCAAAGCCGAGAATAGAAAGGCAGCTTCTGGCTTGACCCTTGACATGGTAGAGATTGAAGCTCTTGCTGCCTTGCTAGCTAAAGACAGGAGAGAAATGACTGCCCTGTAGGGGCCCACATCCATTTCTGAGCCTGCTCTTAAAGCCAGCAATCACACAACAGCTTGTTTCATCTGCAAAGAGCTCCAGCAGAACCCTTGCTTCTGTCTTCTAACAAAGAGTTATTCCGTTATTTAAAAGAGTTAAATAATTCCCAGCTAGAAGCATACCTACCTCAGTGTGGTCTTCTTAAAGGAACCAAATTAGGTAAGTAAGACATGCACTCTGATGACACCAGTGTTCTTTTTGCTTGCCTGCTTGCTTGCTTGGTTTGGATTGATTGTTTGGGGTTTTATTATTTGAGACAAGCTCATTGGGTTATCCAGATTGCCATTAAACTCATTATCCTCCTGCCTCAGCCTCCCAAGTGCTGGGGTTCCAGGTGTGTAGCGTTGTGCTTGACTGAGTCAACTCAACATTCTTTAACTGACTCTTAGAAATCATTGTCCTTAGAGTTACCCACGTGCACTTAGACACCATGGAGGTGTATCTTCATCTTCTGGTCCTATAGCTGTAAGGAGTACCTGTGTTGTACTGAGAAAATGGGAGGCAGGGAGGCTTGTGGGTAGAATGTTGGACAATTTATTACTCTTTGGGTTTTAAAAATGCATTCTGTTTTGTGTATATTTTCATTGCAGCCATTTTTCCTTAATTCCTTCTTTAAAGTTACTTGAAGCCCATTCTCACCCACAGTGGTCCTCCATTAACCACCACTCTCCCAGCCTGGTGTGGCTTGCTAGCTCGATGTCTGACCAGTCCCCAGGTGTATGATGTAAGTACTGCATGTAGGAGCTGTGTTCCTGCTCAATGGGTAGTCTCTTCCTGAGGAAAAAACACCACATTCCAAACTTCAGATCCACAGATGTGGCTTACCTTATAAGATGATCAGAAATTGTGTGTGTGTGTGTGTGTGTGTGTGTGTGTGTGTGTGTGTGTGTGTGTGTGTACTAAGTCTGTTTGGCACAGTAACAGGGAAACCTATTAACAGGGTTATGTGGCTTCCCAATGTGGGCAGCTGTGATTGGGAATCCAAGTGACCAGATTGCAGTTCAAGCCCTAACGGGCTACTGAAGTTTTCATAATTGTAGCATGGGCCTGCTAGTGCCAGCTGGCGTGAGCATTAAATAAGGTTCATAAAGACACACCACAAACCACAAAGCAGCACAACAAGTTAAGGAGTCCTTTGCACGTAGTTTATTTATTGGTTTGGTTAGGTCCTCTCTTCCCATTTTCTGGTCCTAGAAATGGAGTCATCACACTTAGGAAAAGAATGCCCCTGCCATGGATGTTTCAGACTTAGGGCTGAACTTGAGCTCCCAATGTGGGTTGCGGGACAGATAGGTGGAGAGAGCAAGCAGGCATCTACAATTGAAGCAGTAGAAAGGAAGATAGAGCTTCCTCCTTCTCCATCTCTCTCTCACCATCCCAAGGTGATAGAGTCTTTGTCCTGAGGGAAAAGAACTTCTTAGATTTGTGTTCAGACTCACAGCTGCCAAAGGCTCGTTTCACTGTCCGCACAATGCAAAGGAGTAAATGCTGCAGCAGTACAGTTGAGGAGCATAGAATCTCAAGGATAATGCAGGCTGTCCATGGCCCCACCATTGGTAATGGACAAAACTGAGACCCTAAGTCAGGTCTCCAAATATGTAGTCCGCAATTTGCAGTTGATTTCATCAATGATGAAAAAGCAGAAGGCCAACCAAGAGGGAGAAGGGCTCCCAACAGTGGGGTCATGAAACTTGGTACACATTCAGAAAAGATGCATGAAAGAAAGAGATGTTTATGCCATAGTTAGCAGATAAGGCGACCATACCAAAAGACCCAAGATGAAAGCAGGGTTCTTAGATACCATGCTCTTCCTTTGAGAACAAGGACTACAGCATCTGAAACTCAGTGCTGCTGTGCACTGGGAGAAGCCAACAGAAACCAAACTTCTTACTTATCCCCCTTAGAGGAAGGCGACAGAGAGGCTGTCAGTAAGTGCCTGCCGTACAAGCATGAGGAACTGGGTTTAGATCCCCAGCACTCCATAAGATGCTGGGAATGATGATACAGGTCTATAACCTCAACCCTGGAACTCACTGGCATGATGGTCTAATCAATAATTGAGCTCTAGCTTCAGTGAGACAACCTGTCTCAAAAGATAAGGTAGAGAGCAATCAAGGAAGACAGCCAATATTGACCTCTGGCCTCCATGTGCAGGCTCGTGCATGGACACACCCACATGAACATCCAACTCACAAGCATGAACGCAGGTGACAGAGCTTTGTATTTGTAAAGCACTGCCTCAGTCTTTTCCTCACACATTCACCTACTGTGAAGAAAACAGCATTCACACCTCCTTGTCTTAAAGATGCCTGAACATCCCAGCATCCCCAGCCCCTCCTCCCCTATACAAGTGACACTTCTTCTGTGACCCATGGAATAGACTACTTCATGTTATAGGAAAATAGGCCTTTGGGGATGTAGCTTAGTGGAAGCCTGCCTAGTGGTTATAAAACTCTGGGTTCCATTCCCAGCACTGGGGAAAAGTGTGGGGGGGAAACCTGTGATGGGGCATTTAAACCCAAACTTCAGCCACTTTTTAAAAACCTTCTCTAATATGAAGCTTACTAATTTCCCTGTTTCTCAGAGGGATATTTTGAATAGTTTGATGACAGTGTAAACTCAGTAAGGTTTTTACAGTCATGGAAAGCAAGTATGTCTTTCATCATTTCAAGAGACTACTCAAGGTTTGCTCTATGAATAATGTTTGGGCTCTGGGCTCCACACATCCATCCAATCTTCAACTACCAAGACAAGAGCCAGCCTTGATGCTGATCCTGACCATTTGGGCCGAGGTTCTCCTGCCCAGAGTCTCAGCTACCTCCAGACATGGCAAGGCCTCCTGTTGAGTGAAAGCAAATCTTATCAATTGAGGAATCCAAAGTTGAGAGAGGTAGAGGGGCTTCCTTTAATTAGTGCCCTGTGAGGGTTACAGACTTAGTGGGTCTCATGGCCATTTGACCTGTTGTGTGGCTCCCCACTCATCATTTATAGAATACTTTTAATTGGTGGAATTTATTTGGAGAGCTCTGAGGTGTTCATCCTCTATTATTTACACTAGCCATAACTCATTTAGGTCTCAAGTATACCTTGTACACATAGCCTAAAATTAATTTTATAATTATTATAGTTTCATGTATGAAACAAAATTTGAACCATGAGACTTGTGGCATCATGTCATAATGTCATGATTAAACATGTTATTTTTTTTTTCCGAGACAGGGTTTCTCTGTGGCTTTGGAGACTGTCCTGGAACTAGATCTTGTAGACCAGGCTGGTCTCGAACTCACAGAGATCCACCTGGCTCTGCTGGGATTAAAGGCGTGCGCCACCAACACCAGGCTGAAACATGCTATTTTTATAATTTATAAAAAGGTGGAGATGGTACTCAATTTAGACTTGGAATTTTTGTACTAAAAAGCTCAGCCTGTGTGAACTAAGCACCACTTAGGAAGGCAAGAAGAAAGAGACATTGACCTTGGGTGGTTTATCATCAAGATGAGGAGTCCATATACCAATGGGTGGGGGAGGGTGTACCCATAGCTTTGTGCAGCATGACTGAAGGGGCATGGATAGAGGAGGCTCTGATGTCTAGAGGACACGACTTCAAATGAGTTTGGAAGGGCTGATGGGAAATGATAAAACAGATATCTGGGGTGTCTTGACATTTTATTTGCCATTTGAGAAAGCTCTTCATAGTATTGGACAGGCATCAGTGCAGACAAGAGCAAGGTCATGGTTTTCTTTGCTGTGCTTGTGAAACCCACTGGAGAATGCCAAAGTCTATCTGAACCACACTGTGTCCTGACTCTCCCCACCATCTGGTAGCTTCAAGTAGTCATGACCTTGTTAAGCCTGCCTTGTTTAGTCTTACCTATTTTACTACAACCATTGCCTAGTGTGAAATGCCATTCTGGGCCTTTTTCTGACCCACTGATTTTTTCACGTCTCTTAGGTGGTTCAAACTAGGCTGGGGCAACACAAATTCTAGCTCTACTTCCTGTCAACTAGACAGCTTTAGGCACATTCCATGAGTTCTCACAGCATAGGTTTCCTACTGTGACCCCAGTGTTCATAGCCTTCATTGGTAGGAAAGCTTATGTGAGGTTTCCACCAGGTATTTCATAGAGGCTCAATAAAATGTATTCTCCCCATCAGTCAGTCACTTCATCCAGCAGAGGGAAAACAAGGAGGAAAACCTCCCTATGGCTTACTCCCATCCCTGCAGACCTGAGGATAGGCTTGCTTATAGATAAACAGGCAGCAGGCCTACCCAGAAGACCTGCTCAGATAGGAGAGAAGCAGAGCCTGTGTGAAGGGTTTATTCATTCCCTTCCTGGAAATAGTATTTCTATGTGTGCAGGGAAGCAGTGAATGCAGCCAGATGCGTTCCTCTCTTAGACACTAACCCCTGAGCTCTCATGCATCTGGAAATCTAATCTGCTTCTGCTATTCTAAATCCTGGCTTAGGCAACATTGCCTTGATTGACGACACTATAGTTTCTATCCAGTGAGCACACCAAGGGCGTGTTACAGGCAGGCAAGTTTCATAAAATCCTTTGTTGTTTTTCTTTAAGGTTTTTAAAAATGTATGTGTATTTGTGTATTTTTAATGTATTTGTATTCGTGTGCCAGAGTATGTGTATGTATATGTACCAAATATGTGCAGGTACCCAGTGAGGCCAGGAGAGGGTTTTGGATCCCCTAGAACTGGAATCACAGGCAGTTGTAGGATTTGGATCTGGGTCCTCTTCCACAGCAGCAAGTGTCCTTATCTTCTGCCCTGTCTCTGCAGCCCCCAGATCCTTGGTTTTCCGATAGGAGGATTTGGGTTAGGTTGGCCCAGCTCTGGAACATCTCAGGTTCCCCTTTTGTTGGTTGTGCCTTTCAGAACCAAGAGCCGCTGAGAGAAGATGACTCTGATTTCATCCTGACGGAGGGTGACCTCACCTTGACCTATGGAGACAGCACTGTGACTGCAAATGGCTCCTCGAGCACCTACACAGCCTCCACAAGTCTTGAGGGTGGTCGGAGAGTGAAAAGCAGCTCTGAGGAAGTGCTTGATCGAGACCTGGGAATGGGAGATCAGAAGGTTTCCAGCCGGGGCACCCCCCTTGTGTTTCCATTGCAGGAAAATGCATGATTTCCCCCTAAGTCCTGAAGGATCAGGGAGGCTCTCATGAGGATGAGGATGGTCAAATGCCCCAGTGTGTTTGAGGTGTGGCTTTGACTGGGTTAAACTAATGCTTCTGTTTCATTGGGTCCGCAAACTATCATCACTTAAAACTTAACCCAAAACTCAGATGGTGAAGCTAAAGTGTCTCTAAATTAAGAAAAATGCAAACCTATTCCCACTTTCCCATATAGTAGTATGCTGTTTCAGAGTTAAACAAAACAATAGCATGCTTTTAATGGTTTCTCACTTCGTCTGCCTGCAGCATCTGACCGTAGTGAGGCAGATAAGTGGCTTCAACTCTGTGCTGTAGTGCCAGTCTAGCTGGCTTAAGGAACATCAAGTTGGGAGGACAAGTTAGACAACAGACAGTGAAGAAAGGAAACTGAAATCAGAATGTCAATGGTGCCAGATGCTGGTGTCACAGCAGCCAGTAGAGCCCCTGGCTCTGAAGACTTACACAACTGCATCCTCCTGTCAGAGTCCGAGCTATTCTATCTGTGTTGCTCCTAGACTGAACATTGGAAAGCGTGGCCATAGGTTGGGCATTAGCTCAGTGCTAGAGTGCTTGCCTACAATGCACAAGACCCTGGGTTCCATCCCCAGCACTGCAAAAAGTGTGTGTGTGGATTTCCAAGAGCATTTCAATATGGGGGAAAGAAGTCTAGTTCCTTCTCTGGAAATCTCTATAAAAGAGTTACTGGAGTATTTAAAACCAAAGGAAAATCATGTTCTGTTCTTTTTTAATTAATCCGAGGACAGGAAGTATTGAGAAACTGCTGCTGATCCCACTGCAACACTCACTTGACATTGGAGGCTACCATGTGAGCCCACTGACAGGAAGGTAACTGGTAGACTGAGGTTTATCTACCACAGGTTTTAAGATAACATGAATAGGGGCTGGAGAGATGGCTCAGTGGTTAAGAGCACTGGCTTCCCTTCCGGAGGATCCTTGTTCAATTCCCAGCACCCACATGGCAGCCCATAACTCTGTAACTCTAGTTCCAGGGGATCTGACACCCTCACACCAATGCACATAAAATAAAAATTAAATAAATTATAAAAGATAAGAAGATAACATGGATATTGCTAGTGTCTAGGGAAGAGAAAGCAGGAAGAAATGGAAGAAGCCACAGACTGTGGTTAGAGGAAAGAGATTTCAAAGTAAAAAAAAAAAAAACCTGCAATGAAAAGGTAGAACTCCTTATTTTTATTTTACATCTTTAGGACAAAAACTTCAATATGTATAATATACTTTCCCATTGGTATTTCTATTTTCAGCAACTAGAAAATGAAAATCATTCTGATGGTTTTATTTCCATCTGAACTTTTGTTACTAAAACACATATTCAAAGCCCTGGAAATGACTTAGCTTTTCTGCTCTTCCTGGTAAGACAGGGAAGTCCAAAAAAAACCAAATCAGACTTCTTAAAACTATTAGATGACTGACATTCTGACCTCTGACCACACCTTCTTTTGTGAAATTTGATAACTCCAGGAATCAAAGATGGCTTATCTCCTTGTGTGTGAGAATTGGGTTGGTCAAGTAACATCCCCTATAGCAACCTTCTTGTGGTCCAGGGCTTGCTGCCATGCTCCACTTCTGATTCTTGAACCTTTTCTTCCAGCCTGACTTGGTTTACTTTCTTCAGCAATTATCTTTGGTATATTTAGCTGTGTTCAGATATATAGGATCATGTCTGGCTAAAGTCTGAAGTAGAAGGTGAAGCAGAGTGAGGTTTAGTGTTAGACCCATTGAGCAAACTGGAGAACTGGACACACTATGAGGCTTCCTTTGTGTGGCCAATGAACCTTCCCGAAGAATGTCCCGATCTTCTCCAGAAGGCACTGCAGAGCTGCATATCTCCTGAGTTGTAGCAGTGAAAGACAGTCCTATTTTAAAAGTGTTGCTTTAACCAACTGGCTCTTTCTTCATGGGTTGCCTTTTCCTCCAGTCCCAGATTAAAACTGGCTTTTGCAAAGCTGCTTCGTCTGAAAATTCTTTTTATGGTGGTGAAGTGGTACCAGCATCACATGCAGTGGTGAGCAGCTGCTGGAAATGCTGTTCTTTTGATCATTTATTTCCATTGCTGAATCTGGAACTCCAGCTTCTTGTTGAGCTTCTTGAGAGTTCACAGTCTTGGAATGAGATAACATCTCCCATTCAGATCTTCTCAGTGTTTCTTGTGTGACTTGGTTATCAGTTTTCTATGTTATGTCATTATTCTCCACTGTTTTCTTGTGTTGTTTTAAGCTGCTCCCTTGAGGCTTTACAGGAAAGGCCTTACATGCTAGCCCAGCTCAGCTCCCCATTGTGATAATCTTACTGAGGTAACAACTCCTGTAACGTCTGTCATTTCTCTGTGTTTCCTTTGGGGGAAGAAATTCAACATTTTCCATTAGAATTTGTTCCTGATTATCAACTTATAACCATTTAAGTGAATAGTTTCCTCTTTGTTCCCGGCTTCTGTTTTGCCCATTCTCTGGGAGCCTATGTTTACATCATCTCTCCTTGCAGAATTTATAATGGCTGTGGATGGTTTTCATTCTTCCAGGTCATAGCAAGTTGATGAGGACAGGTCTTTCTATATTCGTGCTCTTGTTCCTTTTAGTGCCATGGCTGTAAGAGTAGCTTATCCTGCAACATTGCGTTGTAAATTCTGTACCTCCTCTTTCTCATTTTTCAGTAGATTCTTGTTCTTGCATCATAAGCCCCTCTCTCCTGAAGTCTAGACTTCTCTCTTGGAGCATTCTAGTTGCCTCTGAGTTGCTTAGCAGGCCTGCAGAGGGTCCATAGTACTTCCCAGTTTCAGATTCTGTGTTTTCCCATTTTTCTCAGCTGCAAGGTTCCTCCTGTGGAGTAAAAGTAGCTCACCCAGAGGGTTTAAAACAGAAACTATACTTAATTCTCTCTTTGTCTTTTTACTCTTGCATTCTTCATATAATGAATGAAAACTAAAAGTAGTCAACTCTTGGTCAAGATATGGAACATTTTAGTCAGTACTCTCTTCTTTGCATATGTGGTGAGAAAGGCATTTGCCGCTGAAAATAAATTTGATTGAGGCATCATTATTTCTGAGGTATATTGAGAGGTAATTCTGCTTTCTGCCATCCAACCTGGAACTATCCCATTCAGAACCCATTACAGCAATGAAAGTCTTAGAACAGCTGCTGTCATCCAAACATCTCCATCAAGGCCCCAGAGCTGTAGAGACTGTACCACCTTCTCCAGAAGCCCTATAAGCGGCACAGGCACCAAAGGAAACAGGAAGGAGCTTCCTGCTCCTGCACTGTAGACTCCTGAGCAATCTTAAGACTTAGACAGAATTTGAGAAATTGAACTGATGCTCACATGCAGTGTTAGTGGCTACATTTGGGACAGAAGCAAAGTAATGGAACATAACCCAGTAGAAAGTTATGTCTCCTATAAATTTAGGAATTCATGTGTCTCTTGACACTGAGTGCCATGCAAAGAGATACTGTTTTCTTGGTGGAGAGGCTACTGTACCAGCTTAATATGGACATGGTTTGAAATGTATCATTTCAGCTTATCTTTCTGGATGAGCTATCCTAATTTACCGACTCTTAAAGTAGGTAAAGTACTGAGAGAAATCTTAAAAGAGTTTCTTCCCATGTCTTATAGTGGTAGCAGTTTTGGTAACACAATTTCTAAAAGATATTTTTTATAACATGGTATTTTTTCTCCTCACTGCATACAAAATAATGCCCACAAACACTAGGACATCAATAATGACATCACCTATTTAACCATCTTAACAGCCTAGTCTTAGCATAATACTGTTGTGTTCCTCTTAAAATGGTCTTATAATTTTCTCATCAAGCAAACAGCAAGGAGCACCCCTGGGTTGTTGGATCCTCTAGACCTCCAAATGCCTTGTGGTTCCATAGAAAAATAAGGTCTCATTTGAGAGAAAAAAAGTTATCTCATCTGTATGTGACCAGTTCCTTCCAAAACAAAGTCTGCTTCACATTGCTCCTCCACAGCCTCTCCCTTCCTGGTCTCCAGTGGAAGTGAATGTGATCATGTCAGATACTCAGTGTGAACCATTGGTTCCCCCATGCAGGAACACCACTGAGATCAGAGGACAATTGAGCAAATCATCAGAGATGCAGACCATCCTCTGTAACCTGCCTCCTTCCCAGTGAGTTCTAAGAGAAGTAAAAGTAGCCCAGAGCTGACATCACCATCCATCTAAAATGTCCTCTCAGGGAGGGCTGCTGGGGTGGCAGCTTGCTGAGCTGATGGTTATAGTGGGGCACTTACGTGCTTGAGAGTCTCACACCTGCCTTTTGATGCTGACTCTTAAGTTGGGGCAGACCCTCTCCTGTGTGTTGAGTTGTGCTTTTCTGTTGTTTAAGTGAGACTGGTTTGTTGGCATCAGCTTCTGTGTTCTGAGGCAGTAAGTTGAGTGAATGAATCTAGTGGCCAAGAGTTTACTTGAGAAACAACACATCTGAATGCTGCTTTTACCTGTTTGATACCTAAAATGACTTTACCCCTTTCAAAACCTTGTTTGAACAATCTGTAGAGAAGTATCATAAGAGTGAATGTGCTGATGTCAAACCAAAAAAAGCATTCCTTGACAATTATTTCAGAACGGAACCTAAAAACAAACTTTTTCCTGCTTTCATAGAGATTTGTCAGATTAGCAGATGTATCTTATCACCAAGTGCTGGCAAATTATAAAGGGAAAAATTCAAGTTTTTTATGTTCATTTTATTTTCCTAAGCAGGGTATACTATAACTGTGGCCCATTTAGAACATGTGGGCAGCCATGTTTTGGCCACTGAAGCCTTGGGGAGCACTAAAAGGAGGGTCTCTCTGTTGAGCTGCTTTTGAGATGGCCTAAAGTGGGTATGAGAGCACACAGCACAGGCCATCATCTTCTCACAGCACCATTAAAAGGGTCAGAAGAGAATCTCGAAAGGTCTCAGTCAGCCTTCAACTC